GTTTTTGGTAGACCTGCATGTAGACGCATGCTCCTCGCATGCTCTGTTGGTGTTCTGTTCATTCTTTCTGCTACGTCATTCTATTGCGGCGTCCCTGGAGTAGTCCTCTCCAAACAAATTCGTTCAAAGCACAGAACTTCTTGAACTCCTCCAGTTCCTCCACCATTATCTGATCTCAGACACTTCACTTTTAGATCTGTCTCATTCTCCACCATGGCTTTCCACTTCTTGAAGATGTTGAACACCCCTGACTTGTGCTTCATGATGTATACTCACACCTTCCTCGAGTGATTGTCGATAAAGGTGACGTAGTACGTCGAACCGTTAAGAGAAGACACACTAGCTGGACCCCATACATCTATATGAACAAGCTTTAGCTTGTGAGCTTTAGGTGGTCTTCTCCCCTTCAGAAAACTAACTCTCTTCTACTTCCCGAAGATGCAGTCTTCACAAATACCGACTTCCACCGAATCAATGCCTATTAGCTTTCCTTCTGCGTCTATAATCATTATACCCTTCTCACTCATGTGTCCCAGCCTATTGTGCCACAGATCTGCACTCTCCTTGCCTGCTACAATTGCGAGGATGTCACTCGCATGTAAAGTTAGGTAGAGGGTACTGGTCTTGTTTCCACGGGCAACCACCATTATACCGTTGGAGATTTTCCACGAATCTCCGATGAATATTGTAACATAGCCTTCTGCTCCAAGCTGACCAACCGAAATAAGATTCCTCTTTAACTTCGGTATGTGTCTGACATTCTTTAGAGACCACTTGGAACCCTTCAACTGTATTTGCACGTTGCCTCTTCTAATTACACTACAGGGTTCATTATCCCTCAAGTATACTTTTCCAAAGTCCCCTGCTATATAGTTTTAAAATAGCCTTCTATTAGTAGTGACATAGAAAGAGGCTCCCGGATCATTGATCCATGAATCAGAATCACTATCCATAGCGAGAATCAATGCATCTTGCACAATATGAGCCTCCTGCTCATTTTTATCCTTCTTCGGTGCTTTACAGGTTGAAGACATATGGCCATCCTGGCCGCAGTTCCAACATTTTCTTTTGATAGGTCTCACCTTCGAGTTAGACCTATTCTTCTTCGATTTCGATCGATTCCTGTTTTGGTTCCCCCTATTATGGCTTCTGCCTCTCTGCTCGAGACTTAGGGATGTACCTGAACCTTCTGATTCATTCGATTTTCTTCTAACCTCCTCGGATAGAATCATAGCTACCACCTCGTTCAGCTTCAACTTCTCCTTCCCTGCCGAGTTGTTGATTGCAGTCACGTAAGCTACCCAACTATCCGACAACTGCAATAGTATCAATAGGGCCTGCACTTCGTCATCAAACGTGACATCGACTGAGATAAGTTGATCAACAATTGTGTTGAACTCATTGAGATGCATCGTGAAGGAACATCCTTCTGTCATATTGAGGTTGAATAGCGTTTTGACGAGACACACCTTATTTACAGCTGACGGTTGCTCGTACATCGTGTGAGCGCTTCCATAAGCCCCACTGTCGTCTTCTCCTTTAATATATTGTTTGCTATAGATTTTACGAGGGCTAATCGGACCTACCCAATGGCTTTTCGATCCAATATTTTCCAGTCCTCGTCGGTTTCCTCTTTCTTCTTTCCTTTAGCTTTACCTATTAACGGACGGTAAAGGACCTTCTGGTATAAATAATCCTCCATCCGTGACTTCCAGTAGGTGAAGTTTGATCCGTCAAACTTCTCAATTTTAGATTTGTCTTCTTCTGCCATTTCTTACACACACAGATTTAAACCTGGCTCTGATACCAGTTGTTAGGAATCAGATAAGCTCTGATCCCCGTTGTTGGGGATTCAAGCTATCAAACATTGGTAAGACTGCTCCTTAGCTATTTGACCACCTGTCAAATATGAATCATGTTCGGAATTTGCCCTATTTGAGCAATGGAAAGAAGAAATCACAACAAATTAAAATTACAAGAAAAAAGAACACCGAGTTTTAACGAGGTTCGACAACTTGCCTACGTTCTCGGGAGCCACACAAATAATTTTCTTTATATTAAAGAAGATTACAAAGCTTGCAAAGGAGTAGATCTTAAACTTGGGATCTCTCAAAAAGAAGCAAACATAAAACTATATGTTGCTCTTACAAAAAGCGTGAGTTTTTCCAACAGGAAAAACTCCTCTCTCCTCAATAAATCGCTACAGTAACTCTTCTTAAATGAACGAGATTTTCCTTTGAAAATCTCGAACTCAAATTATAGCTGCCGCCTCAATTAATCGCTGAGAAGAAGAAAACGAAACGGGGGCTGGGGCGGCGCTCTCGAGCTCATGGGTTTCCCTTAAGGGCCTGTTCGTTTATTTCCTAAAAACCAAGAAATGGAAATGGAAAAGGTGGAAATATCAAAATAATCCATTTCTTCCATTTCCATCCCTAAAACTCACCCACAATATCCAATAAAATATTATTTTCATCCAACAACTCATCCACATCATCTAATAAAATATTATTTTCATCTAACCACTCATCCACCACATCTAATAAAATATTATTTTCATCTAACAACTCATCCACCACATCTAATAAAATATTATTTTCATCTAACAACTCATCCATCACATCTAATAAAATATTATTTTCATCCAAACATCACTCAACTCATCTCTTTTCATCATTTCAAATCACTCACATCATCGAATAAAATATTATAACAATTCACCTCATCTCATTAACATTTCATTTCTTTGTTTTCATCCCAAAAAGTTGTGAAAACACTTTTCTTAATCTTTCTTCACATCATCCAATAATACAATGACAACTCATCTCATCTCATTTCATTTCTTATTTTTAAGAATGAACCAAACAAAAGAAAACAACAAAACTACAGGAAATATGTTTCTTATAATTCATTTCCTTATTTTTTTCGCCAATTGAACAACATCAAAACTAGTTTTCTTAAAAAATCACTCACATCATCCAATAATAATGTGACAACTCATCTCATCTCATCTCCATTTCTTTGATTTCCTTTTTTTTAGCCAACCAAACAATTCAAAAACCCATTTTTTTTAGAAATAGTTTTCTATTTCTTTGATTTCCCTTTTTTTAAGGTAAACGAACAGGCCCTAAATAGGGATACCTAGCCAGCCTGGATCCAGGTTGTCACCCACGATCGCAAGCGAGATAGGGAGGGGGTTTCGAGCTCTCGCCTGTGAGTCCATCAAACCCCGCCTGCACTTCGACAAAACGACCTCGCCTGCACTCGACAAACGACCTCGTCTGCAAGATCTTCGAGCCCGCATGCTCGAGGTCGCCCGACTTCACTCCCCTCGAGCTCGCCTGTTCGAGATCCGACCTCGCCTGAAGCTTTCGCCTGCAGCTCATCTCGCTCGAGTTCGCCGACCGGACCTCGCCTGAAACCCATCGACTTCGAGCTCGCCAATAGAGCATCGCCTCGACCTGGACCTCGCCTGAAGCCTGTCGATGTCGCCGGGAGCTCGCCGCCAACCAGGTTTGGACTACACCCTGTTTTTCCAACATAACTCAGATCTTATTCTGTTTAGTTTCGGACTGCTCTCACATGGAAGAACGTAGCTTGGAAAAGAGTAAATTTCACAAAACCACCGAAGGAATTCTGCCATTTTCAGTTGACCCCAATTGTTCGGGGCTATCTAAAATAGATTCAGAAAAATGTAAAAGCATTGGAAAGTTTTTCTTACACTCTCCGTTATATGACCGTGGTCACGTAGTAAGATTTTCTGATATTGTATTGTTTCTATAAATTGAAGGCAAGTTAATGTACTTGCTGAAGCAAGTAGATTCATAAATCAAGTTAGTAGTTTCATTAACATTCCATTGGGTTTGACTGACATTTCAAAGTTTTTGGTGGATATTCCAGGAGGAGTCGAACTTCTTGGGGTTTCGTGAAATTTACCTTGGAAAAACAGTAAAGCCTTCGATCAATACACTAATTTTAGACCCCTTTATTCTACTCTTGATTAAATGATATATATTACTTTGAACACTTTGGATAGAGATTCCTAGATAATTTCTGGTTGGCTTGAAATTGAAGATAGCATTAGTGGAGTTGGTCAGTGAATCAAGTACAATGTAGTTTCTTTTTATATCAAGAAAGAAAATTTATTTTTTAAATTGTAATCTTGTCTTGAAACTGAAATCAACCTTTGCTTTCATAATCACGAGTATAATAAGACAATATGTAATCTTTGACACCAGGTTAATTCAACACTTGCTTTAGTCTTTATTTGTGGAGACAGTAAGTCCCTCCCTACAACTCATGAATTAAGAATTCTCAAAGCAACAAGGCTTTCTCAATAAGGATTATGCGCAAATGAAACCTTTGGCAAAAATCTTTCAAAAATATCGAACTAATATTATCAATGAATTAAATAATCCTTTCTCTCATTTTACCAATAACCAGATATCAGTTACTAATTCATTCTCAACACTGTTAAGATGATAAAAAAACATTTATATGTCTAAACACTTTTTTTTGTGCATTTTCAATGCAAAACACTAGAAAAAATGATAATATGTATTCACAAGTTGAAGGGATACCAAAAAGGACATGCATCATCCATCAAGCCCCTAAATGGATACATGTGCATTTATAAAACAATATGGGGTATATCTCAAATTATATGCAGCTACTTGGGCAAGGAACTAGGCAATTATAACAATAAGCCAAAACTTTGCTTGACATCAGATGAGGCAAGCAACGCATAATCCAGACAAGGCACAATCTGCTGCAACATGGAAGATGTCAGATCCAGTTCAACGCCAAAAGCAAATGGTCCCTCTACTTACCTTAGTTTACTTTCCCATTTCTACGGTCATTTCTCAACAACAGAAAACTAATCATAATCATCCAATACCATCTCATATTAATACTGTTAACTTCACTCTAACTGTATATATACCTCCCCTGTATTATTGCAATCTCACACACACAAATGGAAGAAGATATGAAGCAGAAATACAATGCACAGAGCAAGCAGCTGCCAATGGAGTCGTGCACTCTGTCGGCGCATTGTCAGGGACAATTCTTCAAAGTCTCTTAACCAATGCAAGAGATCAAGAAAGGATACAATCAATGACTGTGATTTGGTCTCTAGAAGTGATGATGGAGTTGAAAGGAGAATAAAGGACTTGCAGAGGTTGGTGCCCGGGGGAGGGGAGATGGAGGTTGATGATCTGTTTGAGGAGACTGCGGACTACATTGAGGCATTGAAAGGGCAAGTCAATTTGATGAGAGCTTTAACAGAGGTTCTTGATGGAGCGTCTAGAGAGAGAAGGACGATGGGCGGGTGATTTTTTTGTGAAATTACTTAATTTATGTGATCTTGTTTTTTTGACTTTTTTTTACTTAATTGCATAAATATCCACTGCAATATAGGGTAAGCCACTTATTATCTCTGAACTTTTTTTTAAAGCATTCAGACCATGATGTCCAAATAAAGATCTGTCTTCGTTAATTGCACTTATGAAGACACTTATATATAATATAATGGCAAGTCTCTCGTCAACACAGTGAAATATCATCTTCCTGCAACACAGTGAAATATCATCTCTCTGTAACATATTCATGTCACAGAGACACACCAACATAGTGAAATATCATCTTCCTGCAACACATTCATGTCACATGAGACACCTACGACGGGTACAGATAATGGAAAATAACTGCAGCAAACCCATTTTTTAATTATATCAATCTTGGTAAAATAATCCCCTGCGGACATTTCTACTATACTTGTGTGTGCACTAAAGAGAAGCAAAAAGTCTTTCATTGCTCTATAACCTCCAAGGACCAAAACCACAGTGAAACTTATAAGAAAGTCCTATCAAATTGTTTCTCTTTAAAGCTATCAATATTCAAATAACCAATCATCCAGCTACTTATAGGTCTGTCCAAATGGGCTCGGCCCAGATTTCCTGGTTCAAGCTAGGTAAAATGCCTAGCCCGGATCCAAACCCGGGGTGTTTGGGTCGGGCCAGGGTCCGGGTCTGGGCCAAAATGGGTCAGGCTCTAGGCCAGCATGAATTTTTTTTGTTTATTTTGTATTTTTTGGCAAAAGATTGCTAAAAAATTAGATTTGTCGTATTATATTTATATAAGTATGTATTAGTATATACTTACATATTAGTATATAACTATATATTATATATACAAATATTATATATAAATATATTGTATATACTTATAAATAGAGACTTAAGAGAGAGAGAGAGAGAGAGAGAGAGAGAGAGAGAATCACATAATATATATATTACTTATAAGTATGTATATTATAGTATATGTATTTGTTACATATATTATGCCTATTTAAGTCATAAGTTATATCACTTTTTGCTTTATATATATATATATATATATAATATATATATATATCATAGTATATATTATATGATATATATATATATGAGAAAAATGAGATGAGCATATCCAATTTCTCTCTCTCTCTCTCTCTCTCTCTCTTCCTCTCTCTCTATTGCTATCTATCTATATATATTATATATATATTATATATAATAATATATATATAAGTATATTATATATATAATATAATATACTTATATATATCAATTGAGAATGATTTGGAAAGAAATAACATATACATTATTTGATACATATATCAATTGACAGTATAAACGTCTGTATTGCCCTAAAAAGCCAAGAGATGGCAGATACAAGAATGCGTTGTTTATGTTCAGTGATCTGCAAGCAAAAGTCTGAAATATATAACAAAGCACCTGAGCTGCAGATGGTTCGTCGTTAAATACAAAGCCACCTCCCATGTGATCAGCCTCTATCTGTAACATGCATGTGCGGAGCCCGTGTCACGGGTGGATTCCTATCATAGGATGCGCGAGGTTCCTAGCTGGAGTTTGGCTCCTGAGGGGCCAGGGAACACGTTGAGACACTTGCAGAGGCTGTGGAATGGGCTGTGTTAACATGCTTTTGAGCATCTCATCTTCAGGCTTCCTGGATTCCAATTGTTGAATCCAAAATAATTCCTTATTTTATAAGGCAAATAAAAGAAATAGTTTGTGGAACTTCTGATTCTCAATTTTGTAAGAAAAATTAATCTAACTCAAAAAATGAGCGGAAAAAGAGGAAAAACACTATGGATGTTTTGATCTAGACTCAGTTTACGGGGAGCAAAAGAGAAAGAGATCATGAGATCGAGGCAAAAATACTCGGAGATTTAGCTCCATACCGGGTTTAGAGAAATAGGCTCCTCTCTTGGACCCAAACCCTAGACCATCTCTCCCCAAAAACCCATGCTCCCAAAAATAGACTATGGATGTTTGATCCGAGGCTTCAACTGACGAGAGGAAGTGGTTGCTATTGCAAACGGCAGGATTTTAACTCAAATCAAAGCCATTATAGCAGTAATTATAAGCTGCAGGACGAATAAACTAAACAGTAAATTGTTTTTGGTAATTTAAACGTAAACTGCTAAATCAAAATTACGGACACTATCGCTACATGTCCCTCTTCAGCTAACATTAAGACAATTGACATAGAAACTTCACACCTAACTAAAGATAGATGAGTTGCATATGCAAGAAATTAGTGGGTTAGTGTTGCATACTTGCATTAATTCACCTTATGAGTCAAGAATGTGTCAAAACAAGTTGCAAAATGAGCAGTCATGGAAAATTTGTGGTTTATTGAAGGTCAAAAGATTACGTCCAATGAAGGTAATGAAAAATATAATTGTGAGAAGAGGTAGCATGACATCTACAAAGATAAAGACATATATAATGGTAACGTATCTAGGGGGGCAGCATCTTGCCATAGCACTTTTTTCTCAATACCCCAACTCTCGTACCGACTAGCCCATTTCCATGCTCAAGGTTTGATTTCGCTCAATGTAAACCGAGAAAGATAGCATGTAGTTTTCTCTCTTTTATGGACTGAATATTGAAATTAATTCATCATAAGCAATTAGAAAATTTGTATATGCGGTACCTTGGACCTGCAATTGCAATGAAGAATTTTTCGCGTTAATGAACATGGAACTCTGTTTAGATGATGAAACAACTCTAAGCTGCTACTAGTTTCAACTGTTCCGAGAGCCCTGCACAGACATAATTATCAGTTCATTTTCAGGTGGCAAGAGGGGGCAGAAATATTTTCAGCATCAGTACTGTGAGTTGAAAATAAAGAGAAATATAGTTATGAAAGTATAAAGAAAAGAAAGTCAATTTCTTTACAAGATGGAACCACACATGGCCTTCAAATTTTCCATTAACAGTTCATCACAAATTTCCTTGAACTCAAAAAGATATTCCCAATTATCATGAGTTCAGACTAACCTTTCTTTAGAAGACCAGTGATATTTCAATGATTACACATCAGGTACGCACACATTTTATATTAGATAATGATATTTATTAAATATACAGATGTACAATGTTTATGACACGAACAAAACACTTGGATAACCATGTATACTGAGTTATTCATATTCAGCCTATTTCCCATCCCCAGTCTGTCAATGACAATGTTACACATTGTGTATCACATTCTTTCGTGTGTACATTATACAATTAATCTGGTTTGCAAAACTTAGTTTACGCCAAAACTCGGGAGTTCTACTCAATCCTTTCAAGATTGTACTTCACCATTCCCTCAAGAGAAGATCTGAAGTCACTAATAGGAAGGCACTGCAGATTCTGTATTGCCAAATCAGCCTTCTCTTTTGCAAGTTCACGTGCTCTTTCAATCCCCCCACATTTGTGAACCAATTCTATTGCTTCAACCAAGGAACCGTCTTCACTAAATTCAGAATCAATAATTTCCCTTAGTTTTGGTTCCTTCTCCAATGCAAAAATGACCGGAGCAGTGAGATTTCCCTTGGCAAGATCACTCCCTGCTGGCTTGCCAAGTTGTTCAGCTGATTGTGTGAAATCAAGGATATCATCAACTACTTGAAAGGAAAGTCCAAGATTTCTCCCATACTCGAACATTTGATCACAGATACCGGCATTGACACCGCTAAATATAGCAGCAGATTTTGTGCTTGCTGCGATCAAAGATGCAGTCTTATAGTAACTTTTCAGAAGATATTCTTCTAGAGGGAGGTCACAATTGAAAAGACTAGATGCTTGCTTGATTTCTCCGCTAGCAAAATCCTTAATAACCTGTTATGCAATAATTCAGTTATAAATATGCATGTTATATGTATCTGAAAACCTTGGGGGGGAAAAACTGATATGCCAAAAGTCATGTATACTTGGCTGATGAGCTTTATGACTTGGAGGTTTTCAAGATTTGCAAGATACCAAGAAGACTGCGCGAACATGAAGTCTCCTGCTAGTACTGCTACCCTTGTCCCATAGAGTTGATGAATTGTTTGCTTCCCTGAAAATAACAAGTCAAATTATACTTTCATTAGTTTCATTTTATTATCTATTATCTATGTCAACATTTAATTTAGGAAGAATTTATGAATCAAATTTCTAGAGTATAAATAAGTTTATAGCAGCAGAGATGAACCATGTCAGGGCCAGTATAGATTCTCATGAACAATACTACATCCAGGAATAGCACCCAGAGATCATGGCAAAGGCTGACAGCCTGACACCTAACCAGAATTTCAATTTTTAATTTTGATTACTGAAAGTTAATTGCATTTATGATCTGATCAAATGTGGTTATATAAAAATTAAAATGTATGTCATAGTAGTTAACTTAAGGGAGGAAATAGCCTTTAATAAAACAGAACAGATATATGATTCACTTAACCAACACCAAATATTTGGGATAAAGACTTTGTTGTTGTTGTTTCAAATGTCATTCGTATGTGTTTTTCTTGGAAATGCAAAAAGTTTAGGACAGAACCCCATCATGTGGTAAGCACATCCTAAATACTAAATGGTGTGCATGAACGTGATTCACTTCTTAGTTGACTTAAGTCATTTCTTCTAAAATTTGAATCTCTATCCAAGAAGTGAGAAACATCAAACATGAATCTCGACTAGATACATTTGCGGGCAGAAGAATATGTAGGCTGATGGATCTCATAAAGAAGAAGTCTACCAAGCATTTGAATCCTAAAATTTTAATTCACCATAACCTGTTGCGATGTTGCCATTCCCAATAGTCATAATTCTGAAAAGCTAACTGCAGTTTAAAGTTGAAGAAAATACATAATAATTTTCATGCTTACTGCAATGGATACATTTAGTTCCATTTTACTTCCAACATCCTATCCCGGTTAAATCATAAACCCGTTCTATAACCAACAACCTCCTCTCCTAGTCACAGGCATCAGTTGTCCACCATAATGGTAATCCATATATGCATACTAATGCACATCTACCTATGAAGCCAAGTACAGAGCGCAGCTTGCCAAAATGCATCCAGATAAGCTTAACTGTTTAGTCACAGACAGACAGTCCCATGAGAGTATGAAAAGATAACAGCTATGAATATTACATCAGAATTAATGCGTAAAACACTATCGCTTCAGTTAAAAACCCTTAAAAAATAACCTCTGTGAGGCAATGGAAGATTATGAGAGCTATTAGTATTAAGTTCTGAAACCAGATTCAATTAAAAATTACATGATTCTGAATTTTGTAAATAATAATATACTCTCTTAATGCGGATGGGTTTACACTGAGCAAGAACATACCAATAGGTTATTCGTCCTAAAATTGATCCCATAACATAAAATATCACACAGCTCATACCTTTAAAATGCTAGTTACAGTTAATTCTTTAGTTTATGAGAACTACTACGTATCAGCAAACTTATTTGCAAATTTCACGTGGGAATATTCAGATCTTAGGATATCACATACTACGTGCACTTTCCTAGCCTAGTATATCACACATTTCTATGTGATATTTGGTTCCAAACAATTTCTAGTGGTGATAAGTTCTGATACCATTTTGTCATGGTCCGTGCAAAGACTTTCCAGGAGGCAACTATCCTGAAATGAAATTAGTCCTTCCGGAGCAATTCAACTATAGAGTTTTCCATGATTCCTAAAAATGCTCATTATGATTAATTTTTATGTTCATGAGCACTATTATATAATAGATAATTTAGTTGTACTTATGTGTGGCTATTCAAAATTCAAATCTTACTGCTACAGTTATATTTCTTGATGCTCTTGTGATCCACATCAAGTTTCCTTATGAACAACAATGACTTATTGGTGACTATTTTCAGAATAAAGTTTATATCTATCATTTTTATCTTGGTAATGAGGACAAGTCTTGGTGCATGCTATGGTTGGTCAATAGTAGCATGAAGGTCAAGAATTCGAGCTGAGTTGGGGTTGGCTGCGGTTATTTACATTATAGGTGTTCATTCATGCGCCTTCATTCCATCAATTCCTCTGTTCCCTGTATCAAGTAGTATAGGTAGACTGAGGGACAATGCTATCATCTCCTCTTAGGTAAATATCACTCTCCCTAATTCTAAAATATTTTCTGTAGTGTAGTCTAAGGCAAGCTGTGATGTAGAAGTCACAGAGTTCAGCATGGTCTATTGTTATGTGCAAACCCCATAGTTTTTGATGATGGCTAAAAGAAAAAAGTTGTAAAAGTTGTGTAAATATCACAGTATTAGTGATGATCAAACCAATAAATTTAGTGGCTAACCTTTTGTTTAGCAATGTGCCCTGATACATTGCTAAATCTACAAGGAGGTGGTTTCAGAAGAACAGTTTAAAGCTACAAGTAGTTCAAGTGTAATCAATGTCACATCAAGAGAAAGCGGATCAAAGCTAAATAGTATCTTATATCCAATTTCTTAAAAACTTATGTAGAATAGTGGATAGAGGATTTCCTTTTTTTGGCACATAGGATATCCTAGTTTTAAACCCTCTTTTCTTGACCCATAGTCACTACTACTTATCCCAGTCGCTACTCTTGATTGATTTCCTAAGTTAATTTACATTATCAGGATATATCCAACCTAATTTGATCGATACCTTTCGCCCTGTTCTGCCATGCCGAGAAGAATTTCTAACTAATACTTTTAGATATTCTAGCATGAAAGTGATGAAACAATACATATGTTGGACATATTCATAGGCATATCGGCAATTCCACTTCTTGGAGACCCCTCAGACCTACTTTCATACTCAAGAGAAGCATATCACACACTGATCAAACATGCCTTCCAATAACATTATTTACAGCTTAAATCATTTTCAATGTTGGCACAATAGTTATAACTTTCAATTCCTGAAGATTTAAGGGAAATATTAGTTGACATTTATGATAGTACATGGCATTTACAAAAAATCAATACTGACACTAGTGAAGATAAATTATTCCATCATTGGGCTAAGCATTATATTGGTTAAAAAAACTTAATGTCACCATAGGTATATAGCACAGAACTCAACGCATATTGATCAGTTCATATCCATGTCAACAGTGATTTATGACCACAAGTAAAACCAGCATCTTTTTAACTCAATCATAAATATTCATCCTAGACAATTTGAACCTTGTACTGTGTAGGTACAAACTATATAATGTAAGAAGAATACCATTAAGCGATGATTTTTTGATACTAGATGAAGAACCAATCTGTTGCAAAAATTAAAGCTCTTCATTCGTTCTCATGTCAGAAAGTGACCAACAACAGGTGAAAATGTTGATTCAGTAGTTTAATTTACAAACCACCACCAAATAGATGTCTATTTGGCCAAATTCTTGAGAATTATCAGTAGATTATGAGAAGTAAATTAAAAGGAATAACAAGATAGGAGAGTAATCCTACCTAAATTTATCAATATCCAGATATACAAAGGTAGTTTGGATATTTCAAAATGATACTGATTAATTTTACAGAATCAACACAACTCAAAAGAAATAAAATTGTTTCAAGAAATATACCTCTTCTTATCCCACTGTCGTCTAACACATCATCATGTATTAAGCTTGCAGTATGAATCATCTCAATGATCTCTGCCAACCGCCGATGCTGTGCTGTAAGCTCCCTATAAGTGTGAATGGTGCGTTAATAACTCCTCCACACAGTTTCTATGTCCACAAAACTCTAAGCAAAACCTGAAATAACTTACACTAAACCTGCTAATTGAGCAGTAGCCCTTGAAACTAGGAATACAAGAGCAGGTCTCAACCTCTTCCCGCCTGCACCAAATATCTGCTCTGTTGCGGATACTAAAATTGGATTCTCTTCACCAATAATCTAGTACAATGATAGGGATTAGATAGAAACTAGCTAATGTAGTTAAAATGATCCATATAATAGCTTTGCAATCAATCAAAAGTCATACAAAGGATGAGAGCTTGATAGGGTATTCATCACAATTCAGTATCATAGTAAATTGTGTTGCATAAGCATTAAGCACCAGAACCAGCCTTTGCATTTTGGATCAAGGACAACTTCATGAACTTGGAAACTGCTAGGACAAAGATTAAGGAACAACGAGTCAGGTCTAGGTTTGGGACATTAAGGGTATTAGAATATGTTAGAGTTTTAAGTATATTTCAAAATTGAGTATTACCTTTAGTTCCACATAGGAAAATGAGAAAAAGTTTAGAGTGTTTAAATGTGTTCTCTCTTTCTTTGTGTTGAATGGGCCTAGGAGTAGAGGGGCCCTCCTGTGCACACAAACCCAATAGAGCCCATAAAGGAAATTGGCCACCAGATCTAGAAAATCTTAGTGCACATGGGCACCCGCATTGCGCCCACCGGGAGCATGGGGTGCAAATCCGGATTTCCGAAAAGGTTCCTACAAATCTCTTTTTTCTCTATAAAATCTACAATAGAGAAAAACTAGCACGCTTCTCTTCAGAAACTCTCAGTACTCCTCTCATAAAACTCTGTTCTCCTCTCAATTGTTAAGGGAAAAATAAATTAGGGCTATTCAAGGGCCTATAGCATTGCGAGTGCATGTTTGTTTGGCCAATGATCATTGAATCCTAGAGGGTAGGCCACCAATACCTGTTTCACTGAGAGATACTCTTAGAGGGTCGAAATCTACTCTTGAAGACAGTGCTTCTGCACATCTCGATCACACAAAGAGAAGTTCCCTTCCATCCCCAAAGCTTGTTTTCAGTTTCATAGTAGTATTTCTAGATAATTTACCAACAATCTTAAGGGTAGATTTACATGGGTACCGCTATGATTGATGCTTCTGCTGTTAAGTCTCTACCAGACATTGCTAAATTGTACATTTTAATGGAACCCACTTTAAAAGATGGCTAGAAAGGGTTTTTTCCACATTTGATGTAACTGGCTATGCTTTTGTTATAAAAGATCCTAAACTAGAAAAAGATAAGGACATACCTAATTAGGAAAAGGCTAATAAAATTTGTAGACATGCAATTCTCAGCACTTTAAGTAATGAGCTTCATGATGTTTATTGTCCTTACAAAGCTGCAATTGAAATTTGGGAGAGTCTTAATAAGAAATACATTCTTAAAGATGCAGGAACTCAAAAATTCACTATTGGAAACTTGCTTAGCTTTGCTATGTCTAACGAAAAAGATATCTCATCTCAAATTTATGAATATCATGTTTTAATTGATGATTTTAAAAATGAAAAAAATCCTATTGGAAGATTATAAGAAAGACTTAAAACACGAGAAAACATATGAATCTTGAAGATGTAATAGTTCACATTCGAATTGAAGAAAAGAAAAAGAGAGAAAATCGAAAGAGCCAAGGAACGTACTTCTAAGGCAAATCTAATTAAAAGTGAATCTTCCAAACCTAAGAAAGCTTTTTAATAAAAATATTAACAAGTCAGAACATAACCTTAAGAATTTCCACAAGAATAAACCTAACTCAGCTTTCAAGAAGAAAAGAATATGTTTTGTGTGTGGCAAGCCCAGGCACTACTCTACCTAGTATAGGTACTAAAACACTGGTGAGGGTCCCTCGAAAACATAAGCAAACACTGTAAAGATAGATATTATTGTTGCAGTAGTCTCTGAAGCTAACAAGATTGCTCAAAACAAAAATTGGGTGATTGAACCCAAGGCAACCCGGCATATATGTGCCGACAGAGGAACTTTCACTTCCTACTCCTCTATTGACAATGGCGAACAAGTCTTCATGGACGGTTCGAGGCCCTCACCTGTTGTAGGTAAGGGGAAGGTACCTCTCAAGCTCACTTCCAAGAAGTTCCTTTCTCCTACAGATATGCTTCATGTTCCGGATATCTGTTAGAAACTCATTTCAGTATCTCTTCTTGTTAGAGCTAGAGTTAAGGTCTGCTTTAAATCTGATAAAATTGTAATGATAAAGATGGACAGTTGTGGGCTATGGTGGCTAAGGTCTGCTTTTGCTTAATATACTTGAAATCATGAATGGAAATGCATCTACTTCTTTTATTGACTTGGCTGACTCCTCTAATCTTTGACATGGTAGATTGGGACATGTTGCTTTTTCTATATATTAAGAAAATGAAAGACATAAGAATGTTACATAATGTTCAAATATCAATCATGAGAAATATGAAATATGTGTAGAATCCAAATCAACTAAGAAATCATGTATAAGTGTTCAAAGAAAATTTGAATTGCTTGAACTAATTCATAGCGACCTTGGTGATCTAAAGAACAATCTAACAAGAGGTGGTAAAAGATTCTACATAACCTTCATTCTAGATATACAGTAGTCTATCTGTTGAGATCAAAAGATGAGATATTTGAAATGATTATAAAATACAAAACAAAAGTTGAAAATCAACTAAATAAGAAAATTAAAAGACTAAGATCTAAATTTAAACAATTTAATGAATATTGTGAAAACCATGGAATAATTCATGATACTACCTCTCCATATTCACTTGAATCTAATGGTGTAGGCTAAAGGAAAAATAGAACACTAAAAGAAATGATGAATGCAATGTTAATTAGTTCAAGAGCATTTCTTAACCTACGGGCGGAGGCTATCCTTTCTGCTTGTCATATCTAAAATAGAATACCATATAAGAAAATTAGAATTACACCTTATAAACTTTGGTAAGGACATGCACCTAACTTGAATTATTTAAAATTGTGGGGGTGTCTAACTAAAGTTTTGCTACCCGAACCTAAAAGAAAGAAATTCGGACCTAAGAATTTTGATTGCATTTTTATTGGTTATGCTCTTCATAGTGCTTCTTATAGATTTCTTGTGAGTAGAAGTGATAATAACGTTATGCAGCCTAACACCATTGTTGAAACTAAAAATGCAGAATTCTTTAAGCATGTTTTTCCCTTGAAGTCTCATGTAGATAAATCCTTTTATGCTTCATCTTCTGGTCAAGCACATGAATCTAATGATAATGAAGAAATTGAATTAAAAAGTAAAAGAGCTAGAAAAGATACAAATTTTGGTGATGACTTCTATACCTTTCTAGTTGATAATGATCCTCTCACCTATAATGAGGCTATCTCCTCTCCAAATGCTCCATTCTGAAAGAAGCTTTTAATAATGAACTAAAATTTATATTACCTAACTACACTTGGGAGATTATTAACTTGCCACCCAATGGCAAACCAATTGGTTGCAAATGCATTTTTAAAAAAACACTAAAAACCTGATGGGCCCATAAATAAATTTAAAGCTAGATTGTTGCTAAGGGATACACTCAAAAGAAAGATTTAGATTATTTTGACACTTTTGCTCCAGTGACTAGGATTGATTCTATTAGAGCGTTATTTGCTTTGCCTTCCATTCATAAGCTTGTCATACATCAATTGGATGCAAAAACTATTTTCTAAATAGTGACCTAGAAGAAGAAATATACATGGACCAATCTGAAGGGTGTGTGATACTTGAAAATGAAAAGAAATTTTGTAAACTTGTAAAATGTTTGTATGGTTTAAAGCAAATAGCTAAACAATAGCATGATAAATTTGATAGTGATCTTGTTTTTAATGGTTATCACATTAATGAGGCTGATAAATGCATTTATACTAGATTTGAAAATGGTGTTGGTGTTATCATATGCTTATATGTCGATGATATGCCTATTTTTTGAACCAATTGGCAAATTGTAAATGACACCAAATCATTTCTATCTTCTAACTTCGATATGAAAGACATGGGTGAAGTTAATGTGACTTTAGGAATTAAAATAACTAGCTCATCAAATAGTATCATGCTTTCACAAGAACACTACATGGAAAGAATGCTCAAGAAATTTGGTCACTTTGATTGCACTCATGTTTCCACACCTTATGATGGTAGCATTCACCTACGAAAGAATAAAGAACAAAGCGTGTCACAATCTGAGCATGCACAAATTATTAGTAGTCTAATACACTTGATAAACTATATACGACTTCATATTGCTTATGCTGCAGGACAACTTAGTCGCTACACTCATTGTCCTAATAAGGACCATTGGACTACCTTATATCAAATAATTAAGTACTTGAAAGAAACAATTTATTATGGCTTGACCTTTTGTGGTTTTCCTTCTGTATTAGAAGGATACTCACATGCTAATTGGATTTCTGATTGAGATGAGTTAAAATCCACAAGTGGATTTGTGTTCACATTTAGAGGAGGTGCAGTTCCTTGAAAATCATCCAAGTAAACCATCACAGCTCGCTCTACTATGGAGTTAGTGTTTGTTGTCTTAAAGAAGGCATGTACTAAAGCTAAGTGGCTAACAAATCTTTTGCTTGATATTTCATTATGGGTGAGACCAACACCGTTTGTGTCTAGTCATTGTGATAACTAGCCTAATAATGCTAGCGCCTAATACAAAATATATAATGGAAAAAGCAGACATATATGCCCAATACATAAAATTGTGAAGCAGCTACTAGATAATGGGATCATATTACTTGATTGTGTAAAATTAAAAACTTAATATAAGTGATCCTTTGACCAAACCACTAGAGAGAAAACTAGTGGAAAGTACATCGAGGGGAATTGGGACTAATATCTATAACAAAGAGTCGAGAATGATGGTAACCCAACTTATGTGATTGACAACCTCATGAAGTAGGTTCATATGGGTAAAAACAATTCATTTGTTTATTATGTGAGCCACTATCATTAATCGTTGAGAGTCCATTCCTATGGTGTAGATAGTGCAACTTGCAATGTGTAAAGGTTAGGCATCAGCTCTTAATGGATTATCATAGCCCTTTTCGGATGGTGTGTTTAATTGCAATGCACACTTAATGGATCCACCTATATGTGTGGAAGTGGGGCCGCTTCCTATGAGAATTGGGCAT